TGGTTGGAGAAATCTATGGTTAGACACTTAGACCAAAACAATTTCTGGGTGTATGAGGGATCTAAACGTACTCTAAGTAGGAAAATTACGTGATTAGAATAATATCAATTTCAATTTATTTCGTGAACAAAATGCACTATAAGGTAATCAATTTGATTTATATATTAAGATTTAAAGGGAAAACGACATTTGCTTTTCTTTTGAGCGTGGTACCACTTGGTCATCATCTTGTTTCCTCCAAAATCATGTTTCCGGCCCCAAAAAGAACCACTATTTGAAATCATCATTCTTAATTACTACCTATATATAGTATCAAACTATCAAACAAATTTATTGATTTAATTTATGTATATATATTTAAATAATTATGAGTGGTCTTTTTAAATCTTTTTTTTCTCAATAAATTAAGGCCTGGAAATTCTTTGGAGAACAATTAATAAAGAATCATTCATGATTAGGCATGCACATGGTGGAAACTGGAAAGTTCTTGGAATAATATTTTTCTGAGATTTATTTCTTTAAACTTTCCAACAGAGCAGCTTGAATTGCAGGAGTTGTCATATTTATATTCATGTGAAGTAATTGCATGCATAAGCATGCTTACACAACAATGCTTATGTATGTAATCATAATTTCTTCATATTAAATTATTATATTGCCATAACTAATTTCTATGATTCATGATTTTCTAAGTGTTGGAAAAATTAGCTTAAAATGGCATAAAATGACATATTAAGTGGCTATTTTGTGGTATAATTATCAGTGGGGTCCACTTCCGATTTGGGTCCGGTCAAAGTGGATTCGTGTTCTTCGTAGTGAGACGAAAAGATTGATATATTGTACGCTCAAAACGGATAATGGGTGAATGAGATATTGATTCTCAAAGTAGACCCATTTGAATTGGGAAATGAAGGGAAAATGGGGGACTTTGTCCCACATTGGTTTGGAAACAAGATTTGCCCCCCTTATATACATGAGCTCTTTTCAAGCTTGTAGAATTGTATAGCATAGAGGCTCTCTCACGCAAGGGGGGAGGGGGGGGGGGGGTGCAAATCAAAATCCAACTAGAGGAGATCGAAAAGGCTTGATTCAGGCTCGAGCTCGCGTGCGCCGGCACCTACGGGTACGAATGTCGTCCGAAAGTGCAGAAGAACTGTTTTAATTCTGAGTTTAATCCTACTTAGTGGCATTTTACATAGTGAGAAACAAAGGAACTACTCTCTTCTTTTAGCTAACCAGTGTTCTAAGCTTTGCTTTGTTCGACGGGTTCCTTGTTTAGGTGCTTAAACAAGGAATCGTAGCACGTTTTATCCTGGGAAACCTAGGCTACAACGCTCCTAGCACTTGTGGGAGGTAGCAAATAAGGTTTTAAGGAAAAGAAACTTGTGTTCGAACTCGTGTTAAATCCTTTACCCAAACACTCAACCTTTTCCTTCCAAGCTTTTCTGTTTTCCCATATAATATTAATCTTTTCGTAGGATTATTATTTTGGAATTTTACAACCATATTACCCAACACTAACTTCATGATCCTATGGTAAATTCCCAAGATCAAGTTCACTTGTCAAGCCAAATGCAACACCTAATTAATTTTAAAAGACAAATCCAGCCACCGGCTCCATCTATAAGAATAACATTCGAAATGCCCCCACGGGATTAGCTCATTAGTTTAGTAGGCAGTATTTGAGAGAAAAAACCAAGGTTCAAGCTTCGGCGGTGACAGTGTAGAAATTATGTCAAAAGTAGACAAATCCCTTATGTGCATCGGTATTGACCTTGTCTACTGAGCTCAATTGAGTCATCGTAATTTACATCCTACATGTTCTGTCGAGCCGGAGTATGGGAGACCTGACCTTTATCACTTCCGGCGCACCATTAATCCTAACTACACGTGCTCTATCGAGACATTTATCACTTTCGACACCATTAATCCTAACCCTACATGTTCTGTCTAGACATTTATCACTTCCGACACTATTAATCCTAACCCTACATGCTCTGTCAAGTCAGGATATGGGACCTGATCTTTATCACTTCCAGCACCATTAATCCTAACCCTAGCTTGCAGTGACCATTCCCATCTAATGAACACCTCATATCTAACTATAAGTCAAACTTAACCACCAAAATTCCAAATCTCCATAGCTTTCCCCCAAAATCTTGTTGACCCCATCAAAACCAAATCACCACCAATTCCAACCTCAACACAGCAATGTGAAAATTGAATTCCGTAGGAACATACAACTACAAAGTTAACAACCATTTTTTCTTTAACTAAGTATACTTCTTGCGACCATGGGAAATTAATTAGCTAGCTTGCTACCAGGCCATTTCCACCACCTTTCTCAACAATATCTTATTAATTTTATTTTAATTATTTAATCAAATGAGGTTATAAAGAACATGAAACTACGGAGTATATCTTAAAATTCATAGTATATGTATGTGTGTATGTAAATGTTGTATATCAACTATTCCTATGTTGAAATATAGGCTTGTGTGAAAATAAAATGTAAACTTTTATGGCTTGACAATTCCAGTCAAACATGGCAAGTGATTACTAAATTACAAACTTTAAAATATCTAATTAAAATCACCACAAAAGGCAAAAAAAAAAAAAAAAAAAAAAAAAAAAAAAAAAAAAAAAAAAAAAAACTTTTACCAATCAGCCGAATACATATACATATATACATATAAAAATATTATAAGGTGATGATCAACATTACAATAATTTGCAATGAGTATATCTCAAAATATATTTTTGGAGTTGTATACTTTGGATACCGTGGGAGCAAATAGGGTCTATACACACACGGTGATGATCGACTTTGGTGTCTCTTGTAGTGTTGCACCGAGTACAATTTAAAAAGTTTTAATTTGCAGTTTGTATAACGCCTGATTGAAACATTTTCTACAATGTCTCTATTGCACCCAATACAAACTCCAAAATTTTTTACATTCACTTTTAGTTGTATTCGGTACTATATATATATATATATATATATATATATATATATATATATATATATATATATATATATAGCCTACATTGACTATCAATCTCTATTTTCCTACTTTTTCTCTATAATATGACAAGGGATGATAAGTTATTTTTATCTTGTGAGCCTCTAAAGAAATGTCAATATCACAATTTTAAATAAAAAATAAAAATATAGAATAAAACTTTAGAGTTTAAATAATATTTTCCACATATACACGCAATAAACGGATAGAAATTTCATATTGGAACGTTGAGAAATGAGAGCGTTTTTTCGTAATATTATTTTTTGAGTGTGTGGGGTCCAAACTCACGTTTGATGTAAACGTAAGCATAATTGATCCATTTTGACATTTTCAAGTCCTCCTCTAATACGAGTAGGGGTGAAATTAGGGATCGAATCTCATTGGCGGTAGTGTAGAAGAGCAACCTCTTAAAGTGAGAGGGGCTCTTCGTGAGCATTCAGTGAAGATTTAACCTCTATGATTCAGTTGAGTTATTATGATTTACATCTTTCTAGATGCTCGGTCGGATTGAAGAGGACCCTTGGAGTTAGAGATTCAACGTTTTAGGAAAAACATATATTAAAATACTTAAAAATTAAAAACAAAAAAGTATATAAAAAATACATTTAAAGAAAGAAAATTGATGGAATTATGAATCCCCATTCCCCACTCAGGGGGAATGATTCCGATCCTTACGATCTTCCTCTAAGTCCATCTCATCAATGACTTATTTACCCTTTAAAACAAAATTCTGTAAACCTTAGATGACGCCAACAACAATTACCAAGTACCCTACCACTTAGTGTGCTGATCGTTGGGACGAAGGATTAGTCTTCTGAATTCTGACTATCGGCGGGAGGGATACTTTTGAGCAACCAAAAAAACAACAATTACCGAGTATATATATTTCAACATCCCAATATTTGTTTTTACCTGTTCTAATTGTTTTTAGATAATGAAAAAAACATAGCCACAATCACTACTCATGTGTGTTAGTGTGTATTAGTAAACTCTATTTATATGTGCTAATTTACAAATCACATAAAAACGTAAATCGCACTAAGAATATTATGTGTAACGTGCTCGATCCAAAAAGTATTGATAAAAATCAAATTTATGATCTCCAAATATAATAATTGTGCTACATCCATTCGACCATATGTTTCATGACTAATTTAGTAAATTATTGAGGTTACTGCGAATACGCATAAAGATTGAGACCGGGCCGGGCAACGGCACTTGTGTGATCGGCTTGCTGGTTTAATGTGCTGAGCTCAGAAGGGGTGTGAGGTCGGGGGGTTCCCGATGAGTTTAATAAACCTATAGAGAAGTTATCAAAAGGTCCCTTCTACCGTCACGTCACGGGGTACTTACAGAGAATTCAAGGAACACATGTTGCACGCCACTTGAGAATCGGGTCGGTGAATGAGGCCAAAACGTAACCGGCATGTGTAATAATATATCTGTGATGCCATGTACTTACTGGGCTTAGTTCAAGTGTCAAGTATTTGTGCTCGGGTTCTTGGTCGAGCAAGTAGGTCGAGTCTGACCGTCGAGAGGTGAAAAGCAGCTCATTAAGCCAAAGAATCAGTAATTCTTTACATCAGGATCGATCAAGTATGGGTCTCCGATAGAACCAGGTCGAAAAATAACCCGAACCTTGGGATGACTTGTACCCGATTGAGCCTTAGGTAATTAGGTATGAGAAGTATCCCAGGGTATACTCCCTATCAAGGACAAATTTTTCTATTGTTTTATTCACACGGCTTAATTTGGAGTATTGAAGAATTCCAGAAAGGAAAAAAAACAAAAAATAACAATACGAGGAAAAACTGAACTATTAGGTTGACCACAGGTTTAAATTGAAGACGACCAGCCTGTTGGGTTTTACTCTGTCAACGCTAAAGTTATAACAAGAAAATTCGGCGTAATAATATTAATACTATGAAACAACCTTCTTCTTTCTCTCTCCTTTCTCTCCACCTTCCTCCTCTCCCCCTATATATATGGCCGCCTCCTTCATCTCCGCCACTAAATCTTCCCAATTTTCACCGCCACCATAACCCAGAACGCGAAGCTTAGTTTGACGGATTACTAAATTCTTGTTAGGTTTTGATATGGAGACGTCGTCGAGGGATTTAGAGATTACAGTGATCTCCGGGGAAGGGCTCCGGGTGGGGAAAAAGAACGTTTTCGTGACGGTGAAATCGGAGTTTTCATGTAACGTTAAAGCGACGGGGGTGGATAAGGGAGGAGGGAGTTTTCCGGCGTGGAACGAGAAGCTGGTGGTGGATTTGCCCATGCATGCACGCTACCTAACGCTGCAGGTCCAATGCAAGACGTTTTCCGGCGTAAAAGTGGTCGGAGAAGCCAAGGTTCCGGCCAAGGATTTCGTCGGTGGATTCGTTCCCGAGAGCTACGTGCGGTTCTTGAGCTATAGGTTGAAGGATAGGAAGGGGGAGAAGAATGGGATTATTAATATCTCTGTTCGGGTGAAGAATTCGGCGGCGGAAAACGCCGCCGTCGCCAGTTGCTCCTCGCAGTACTCGCGGCGGCCGTGGACTGGGTTGCCGCCGCCCACCGGTAATCCTACCAATGCCGCCGTTGTGACTGGTATTCCGGTTTGGTGTAGCTATCAAGTTTGAGTTCTAGTTGGATTGAAATTCCAAAATTGTAAATAGATGAATATTTGTCTCATTTTTTTAAAAAAAAATTATGGAGTAATAAATACAAATATTTTTTTTAAAGAATGAATTTGGTTTCGTAACTTTTAACCGGTAGTCCTTCGACTTTCAAATTGTTACCATCTGTAGTCCAAATTAACCCTCCATGGTCCTTCAACTATCAAATTTTAACTATCCGCGGTCTTCTAGGATGATTTGAACCACCATGTTTAACTTGGATCACGGATGATAACAATTTGAAAGTTGAATAACTATGGGCCGAGTGATCAATTTGAAGCTTTAAGACTAAACGTGACAAAATCACTATATATACGGAGGACTCCAAATGATATTATTAACTCATAAATCTAAATGCAATCTCAAAAAAGTGGTTATTCTAACGTTAGGTGCTAAATGTTGGCATCCTTATCTGTCCTAGATCATGTGTCAGGTGTAAATTCTCAATTATAACATGTTTACATTATTGTCAGGTGTGAATCCTCAATTATAACATGTTTTACATTATTTGTATTTTTTAATTAGATGTTGATATTCTATTCTATCCTTGATCAAGTGCCAAGTGTCCTTTGATTCTGTCCTTGATCAAGTGTCAATCTTCTGCATCTTAGTTTGGGTGCAATTTTCATAACATGTCGGTAGAAACTCGAATTCTTGATTAACGAATAAGATACTAGAAATCCGAATTCTCGATTAACAACCTATGTTCGAGTTTGGAGTAAAAGAACACCAAACATCAAGGAAAATGGACAAACTCCTGTGCACCTTAGGAAGCTAACAACAATCCAATCAACAATCTGAAGCATTGTGTGATGAGGTTTTTGCACAAAGAATAAGCAAAGAATAACGTAACATTATGAACTTCATTCAACACACTTTCTGACTCTATATATGTATAGTTTATATGTATACACGAGAACGAGACGTTCACAGTAACTAAACGAAACAATGAGCCATATGCATCAATAATAAGCCCATGAAAGAACTAGGTATCAGTGCGGCAAAGCCTAAAATACACACACAAGTAGCAGCCAAGTTGGTGCACGGATCCAGTAGAAAACCCGACGCACCTATTGCTGTTTGGCAGAGCTTTGCTGGATCCACCGAGGCTTTTCGTTCGAGTCCTCAGACATCTTCCCTGCCGCTATGGTTGCCATTTTTGAGGATATTGTACTTGCAGAGAGGACAGGTGGCATTTATGAACAACCACTTGTCTATACAGGCACAATGAAAATGGTGACGGCACGGGAGTTCACGAAGTTCAATGCCATCGTCATAGGAACAGAGGCAGATACAGCATTCCTGCATCAAGAGCTAACAAGTTAGAAAGGTAATTAAATGTAATAAAACCTTATTGGCTTGGTTGCCCGGGTCATGTTTATTTCTTGTAATGGAAAATATTAGGTATTAACCAATGTCACACCAGGACCCAGCATCTTCCAAAATCTTGAAATAGCGACATACTAAAGTCTAAAACAACAAATTTAGTCCAGTATTGACCATTTTTAGTCTTATGTAGTGTACACATATTCATATGTTAATCAACAGTCAATATGTCTGAAATACATTTTGTCATCCATATTGCTTGAAGTTCCAATATCTGTGCAACTATTTACTTTTACATACGATTGATGGAATAAAAGTTGAAAGGGGTTTTTAATGCAGTATAAAAATCTGTCAAATAAAAGAGATGATAGTTGTTTAATGAAGCTTACAGCATCCTCCGCAGAAAGAACATGTTCAGTGGGTGAATCAGTATCGCATTCAATCATTACCCCTCCAAATGACTCTTGAATCTCACCATTTTGTTTCTCAAAATCACCAAGTTTCCTGAATTTGTACTTGGTCAACTGTTCAATGTCTTCCTTAGTTGCTCCCTCCTATTGCAACAGAAAGGCAATATTCAGAAAGAGAACTATACATAGGCAGTTCAAAAGGAGACGTGACAGCTCAAATAAAAGAGCACTGGTCTCAAGATTGGCAAGCCACATGCCATAGAACATAACTATTTCTCACTTTTCTTGATTGCTAGTGGAGATGCCTTAGTGGGAGACAATTGGAGAGAGTGAGCCAGTGGGGTATAGAGACAGTAACAAAGATGAGGAAGGTTGGCCATTATAGAACCACAGCACGTTGCAAAACTCAAATTCACATAGTTATGTCATAGAGGAATGAACATGGATAATGCATTACTTCCAAACAACCAAGTACACAGAAAGGAAAGTCACATTATACAAATTGTCTACCTGATCCGCCACTGCATATAAGATTGCAATTATACATGGTAGACAACAGCAAACAGCAATTCCAATGACACAAGCCACAGCAACGCAGATAACAACAAAGAACACATCAAATGCCAAGAATGTAATGCAAAGCCTGCAAAAAGCATCAAATAATAACACGTCATTTAAAACAAAATGTTATACTAATTTAAAGCAATAAAAGAGAGGGTGTTAAGCATACCAGTAAAGTTGAGGGGAATCATGGGGCAACCTCTCACCACCAGCAGATACCCAGTAAAATCCAACAATCCACCAAATAAATGAGAACATTGTATTGGCAGACTCCAGGTGCTTTGCAACACTGGAACACACATTACAACAAGAGTTAAATTCCTCTAATGTGAGAGCTGAGCAACAGTAAAGCTACCACTATATATATTTCATTCTTTACAAGAACAAAGATCTCTCCTACAGATTCCACAATAAGAATCTTCACAAGATATCACATCCAGTACCTAAATATGACATTCTTAAAAATATAGAAACATAGTGTTTTTATTTAGGTTCAACCGAGCAATTACGCGACGCCCATTGCTATACTCACACATGTTTTCAGCATCTCTGAAATCTGATTCATCATTCATAGTTTGCACTTAAATCTGAAAGTTGGACTTATATTAATTGATGAAGCATGAATCTGGGATCATACTGCGTAGACAAAAAATAAACTCTCATATAATATAATACAAACCACATACATGTTAGTGTCATGAGGAGGTCACCGACAGTAGCAATGAACCATACTGAGATTAGCAAATAAGATAGTATAATGGCCTTTAATCATTGAACCATTCCTAATTGCTCCAGTTCATACATCAAGAAATGGAAATTAACAGAGATTAATAAAGCTGCAGAATTTTTGCTAACAATATTCATTCTCCACTGACTTCACCTCAGTAATTTATAAGTAACTACAATAGACACAGTATCATACCTAAGAGTCCTCCTATTCCTTAAATTTCAATATTTCATAAGCCTACTTCATATCAATTATGTATGTGGGATAACAAACGCTTAATAAAAAATATAATTCACAATAGACAGCAAAAAATCAATAATTGAACAAACATGCACCTAAAGTAATGCTCAAATACTACATATTATTTTCATATGCTATTGTGTGATTACAGAAGTAAACACCTAGAGGAAAAGTGGATACCTGGGTTCGTCTTCATTCTGGCGCCTTTCTGGGGCATAATCACCAGTCTCTTCATCGCTTTCGGAGCTCGAATTCGCACTGCTCCAACCTCTGCTTCCGCTTATCCGTCTAGAACTCAAGCTCTCGGGTGAACTTCGCCGCCGTCTATACTCCACAAAGACACAAACCATATGAAGCACACACTGGCAAGCGTAGCCAATAATCCAGAGCCTGAGAGGCATCAAGGGCGACTCCTTGCGGCTCATAACTAACACAGCGATCGAGACTACGATGAAAGCTAAGTTCCAGATGAGATCCAGGATGACGATAGGCTTGGAGTAGGCCCAATCGCTCTGTCTCTCCTCGATTTGCTCCGCCGCCGCCTCGCGCACCCGCATCGACGGCTCCCGCATCATCCTCCGACTGCTGGCTCGCCGCAGGAACCGAGCCGCCCCTCTTAGGCTCGGAGAATTGCGCATGAATCGCCGGCTACGGAAGATCTGGTCGTTAAGCAAAGGCGTCGTGTCCACTCCTCCTCCGCCGCTGCCGCCGCCATCGACGGAACCGGAGTTAGCGTCTGCGCCGGAAGTTTCCTCGTTCGGATCCCTAGCCGTCGACATCTCTGCCGGAAAATTACAACAATTTCTCCTTAGGTACACAGAAGGAAGATAGGAAGAAGCTCACCGAAGATGAATTGAGATTGATCGAGACAAATACAATTCCACTTGTTTGACAGCTGACAACTGATTAACGGTTACGATTGCCTTCAACGCTGTGTCTGAAAACAGACAATTATCCCTTTATCCATCCCAGCTTTCACTGACCCACCAATTGAATTAAATTATTTATAATCTATTTTTAATATTCATTTAATTACTTTTAAACCAGTTAAAAAATTGATCCAATCATTCCTATAAATACTTTTCAATAATAATAACAAATTAATTTATGTTATAAATATTATTATTATTATGGACATTATCTCAAGACCTTTCATTTGCCTTATATTTATTCCATTATTTATGTAATAGAAAATGAAGGGGTTATATGGATATATACATGTTCAAGGCATAATGAAATGGAGAACTTGTGTTCTTGAATTCTTGAGTTTATCTTGTGTTCTACCTTTTTCTCTAATCTTCCATTCCATTTTGTAATCTTCTTCATACATACAATCGATGTGTTACCGTACAATAATAATAACAAATTAATTTAGTGAATATTTTGACTTAATAATATTAAGGAGGAATTTTAAGGATGAAAAAGTTCCATCATGATTAATTTGTTAATATGTATGAAGTAAATTTCATACTAAAAATATATATATATGCAACCGTCTCAAGAGAAGTAATCACTTTAGAATCTCATGTCTTATGGTATTTAATTTTGCATTGATAATAACAAAACAAAAACAAAATTTGAAAATGAGTCATAATATTTTCATTTCTAGTGTTTGGTTGCATTAAAAAAAAAAAAAATTGATGTGCTTGGTTTATTTTTCAAAAAACGAACAATAAAGATAAAGTCAAATACTCTAAACTTTATCCAGTCAACTCCGAAGATAAAATCGGTGACCTCACCTTCTACTAGAGATGGAAGACCAATTGGTCGCCTTCCCACCTCAGAGAAGGCAACCATTGGTCGTCTCCAATGGAAAGCGACCAGTTGGTCACCGAGAAGATAGGTCGGGGAAGATGGCTAAGGAAGAATGTCCGAAAGGCGAATAGAAGAGGCTTGGAAAATAACTTTCCCTGAAAAAATGAGAAATTGTTTTTCATAAAAAATAAGGTGATTTTCCTCTTTGACCGAAATTGATTATCCATGATTTAATTTTCTAAGCCTTGCCAAACACTGAAAATCCAAAAAATGATTTTCATTAATCATTTTTCAGATTTTAAACACACATTTACAACACGTTTGGTTCACATAATGAATTTGGAGGGAATGAGAATGTTATTCCATAGGGAATGAAATAAGTAAGAAATATAACATGAATTGTATTCTCAAGAGCATGGGAATAGCTAATACCAAGGTCCCCTAATGACTATTTCATTACAAAGGGAATGACTCAGGAATAGTATTCCCATGACAAAGTGACCGAACCAAACAATGGAATAGGTCTATTCTAAAGAATGTCATTCCACCATGAACCAAACATGTCATTATAGTTTAGTCTTTAGGCTATCCACAAAAATAAAATTTAAAATTGAAAGTTCAGTGGTTCTTAAGTAATAATTTGTAGCCAAAGACACTTTCAAAACGTGCCAACTTTACTTTTTTATTATCCTATCGGATTTGAGATAAATCAAAGCAAAATTTACATTTTTCGTCCATAAATTATAAGATAATTGTAGAATTCGTTCATGAGAATTGATCATCCTCACTTTTCGTCTCTAAATTATTATCGATGTTATATTTTTCGCCATTTCATATTCACTTTTTGTTCACGAGTTATATTAAAATTGCAAATTATGTACCTAATATTTTATTAATAAAGAGCCGAAAAGTACATCGTTAATAATAACTTAAAGATGAAAAATGAGTATTACCAACCTAACAATTCTATAACTATCAAGTTAAAGACGAAATGTACAATTTGTGCTAAATCAAATTATTGACCTTTTTTTGTACAAGGGATTCTTTTTCATTTTGAATGAATTTTGATTCTTCCTCTGCTCTCCACTCTCCTTTCGGAGAACGCCATAGCCAGCTCCCTTTCCATCATTCTTCAATCTTCAACGACGCCCTTCAATCCTCTCTCAAACGCAGTATATACAATCAAACTTGCCAAAAAGCCGAGTTCTTTTTGTTTTTTTGTGCCCATTAAATTAGAATTAATAATGTTCTTTAAGATCGTTATTTATTGAGGCCATGAGCAAAATTAAGCTGCATCGTTTCAACCCTCTGCATAACTGTATACAGCTAAGTCGTAAACTTCAAACTCTTGCAAGTTCAACTTCAAGAGGCTCCCATGAATCTGGTTTGATTGATAAAAATCGAACCTTGGGTGGTTTGTCGAAATCGGGCTCTATAGATGAGGCTCGTGTGTTGTTTGACAAAATGCCTGAGAAAGATGAGTTTACATGGAATGCAATGATTTCAGCATATGCAGAAACAGGGAGGCTTGCTGAAGCAAGACAATTATTTGACAAGGCCCCAAACAAGAGTTCCATTACATGGTCAACAATCATTTCTGGATACTGTAAAAATGGGGATGAAAGTGAAAGCTTTGCGCTGTTTTGGGCAATGCAGAATGAGGGGCATAGGCCGAGCCAATCAACGCTTGGAAGCATTCTTAGGATTTGCTCTATCAAGTGTTTGCTTTTGAGAGGTGAACAGATTCATGCATTGGCAATCAAGACTGGCTTTGATCATAATTTGTTTGTTGCTACCGGTCTTGTAGACATGTATGCGAAATGTATGCGTGTTGTGGAAGCCGAGTTTGTCTTTAAGACGATGCCAAGTGGGAAAAATCATGTCACTTGGACTGCAATGATCATTGGGTATTCCCAGAATGGAAATTCTTTAAAAGCTATTGAGTGCTTTTGTGGCATGAGAGCAGATAATGTTTATGCCAATCAGTATACTTTCCCTGGCGTTTTATCCGCTTGTGCTGCAGTTTGTGATTTAGCGTTTGGAGTTCAGGTGCATGGCTGTGTTCTCCGGGGCGGTTTTGGTGCTAATTTGTTTGTACAGAGCGCATTGGTAGATATGTATGCCAAATGTGGGGATTTAGCGAGTGCCAGAAAGGAGTTGGAATCAATGGCGGTTGATCATGTCGTTTCTTGGAATGCCATGATTCTCGGGTGTGTGAGACAAGGATTTGGTGACGCTGCACTGTCATTGTTCAAGGAAATGCTCGCTAGAGATATAGAAACGGACAATTTCACCTACCCGTCTGTTCTTAATTCTCTTGCCATCACAAAGGATGTGAAAAACGGGAAATCAGTCCACTGTTTAGTCATCAAGAGTGGCTATGATACTCACAAGCTTGTGAGTAATGCTCTTGTGGATATGTATGCTAAACAAGAAGAGCTAACGTATGCAAAAGAAGCGTTCGATGGCATAGCAGACAAGGATGTGGTTTCGTGGACATCTCTTGTCACGGGATGTGCTCACAATGGCAGGCACGATGAATCTCTTAAGTTGCTTCGCGAGATGATATCTGCTGGGATTGGTCCCGATCAGATTATCTTTTCCAGCGTTTTAATTTCCTGTGCGGATCTTGCAGTACTCGAGTTTGGACAACAAGTCCACGCGAACTATATTAAATCCGGCCATGGGAACTCAGTATCTGTCGATAATTCTCTTATAACCATGTATGCAAAGTGCGGGTGCCTAGAAGATGCAGACAGAGTTTTTAACTCGATGCATACTCGAAACGTGATGACTTGGACTGCTCGTATAATAGGCTATGCGCAAAATGGAAAGGGGCGAGAATCTGTGAAATTCTACGACAGTATGATAGAAAACGGGATAAAACCCGACTTCATTGCATTCATAGGTTTGCTGTTTGCTTGTAGCCACGCAGGTCTTGTCGAGCTAGGAAGGTCATATTTCAAATCCATGACAGAAGTTTACGGGATAAAACCGGGCCCCTACCACTACACCTGCATGATAGACCTCCTCGGGCGCTCTGGCAAAATGCAAGAAGCGATGGAGCTGCTGAGCAAGATGGAAGTCGAGCCCGATGCAACAGTGTGGAAAGCTTTGCTTTCCGCCTGTGGGGTCCATGGAAATCTCGACCTAGCGGAGAGAGCCGCAGCCATGCTGTTCGAACTGGAACCCCACGACCCCGCCCCTTACGTTATGCTGTCAAACGTCTACTCTGCAGCTGGGAAATGGGAAGCCTCTTCGAGAACCCGAAGGCTAATGAAGGCGAAGGGCGTTCACAAACAGCCTAGCTATAGCTGGATGGAGACGAATGGCGTGGTGCATAAATTCTCGTCCGAGGACAGGAACCACCCGAGAGCTAACGAGGTTTACTCGAAGGTCGACGAGGTTTTGATGTCGATTAAGGAGGCTGGATATGTGCCTGACATGAACTGTTCTCTTCATGACATCAATGAAGAAGGGAGGCAGCAAAGTCTTGCTTATCATAGTGAGAAGTTGGCTGTTGCTTTTGGGCTTCTTTACTTGCCAAAGGGAGCTCCCATTAGGATATACAAGAACCTTAGAGTTTGTGGGGATTGCCATACTGCCATGAAGTTCATTTCAAAGGTTTTCCAACGGCATATTATACTCCGAGACTCCAATTACTTCCATCATTTTAAACTAGGAATGTGTTCCTGTGGAGATTATTGGTAGGATTCTACAAGATTTTGGAGGTGTTTGATAAATGGCTACTAGCTGTTAGCAGTAAGCTGATTGGGTTTGTGGGTTTGTGGGTTTGATTAATTGAGTGTTTGATAAATTAACTGTTAGCTGATTACATACAAAATGACTTTTTCAAAAAATTACTTTGAACAGCTTTTTGAATTTTAACATTTTAGAACAATAAGTTACAAATTTTTGTTTAGGACATCCATAATAGTAGATTTTAAGTGATTTTTGTTGCCTAAAAACTTTAAAACGGCTTCTCAACAAATGGGAAACGATTTTTTGGAAGTTTTTCATTACAGTAGGACCTGGTTTTTGCATGTCGCGTAAGAGTGTAGGACCCACCAAGACTCAACATAGCAAATATTTTGTCGCAACAAAACTAGCGCTGGCCGTGTTAATCCTTAAAATCTCAACTATTGATAATGCTCTTACCCCTTGTATCGAAATAAAACAAAATAAGAAGTAACAATACAAGATATTGATGTTTTCCCAAGATTGAATTTGAGATTTAAATAAATGGCAATAAATATAGTGTTTCGTGCAAGAATGGTTTTTGGTACAGAAATCACTTCCCTTGAAAGACAACACGTGGAAGAAAGACAAGAAAAGGGTGCAGAATTAAGGTAATCCCTAAGTCAATCTATTGACCTCTCACACAAGTGTATAAACAACCCAAAGTAGCTAAAGCCATTTGTGCCCAGCATCAAGAACACAAGAAATCAGTCTCTCTTTCTCTCTCCCATCATCATCATCATCTAAGAACAGCCAAGGCATTCATGAGAGTTAACTATTTACACACCATATAGTAATATGCATGCCATCCATCATCCATAGAAGATCACCTTGACATTTGACAACCTGTTCTATATCCTTCATCCTTAGCGCGAAGACGAAATAGCAGTGATTGCGTATTGATAACCCAACCTTGCAGAAACAAATTTACACCCGCCTAAATTGATAGCCGCGGCTCTCAACATATAGATTTGCTCATGTGCTCGGGGATGAGACGGTTTCGCAGCTCGGCTGGCGCACTGGCTAGCTCTGCGTGGGTGATTAGCGGGGTCAGATATGTGTATCGGAACCAAAGGAGAGAAGGATGAACTGAGATCGAGCGCTTACCTTGAGGAGTAAAATTGAATAGAGCAGGCAGAGGTTTGCCATTCGGTAGGCACGCGTTTGGCTCTCGCAAAGAATCAAAGAACGGGTGTGCGCAAGCCTCCAACTGTAAAGCAAAAACACAAACTCGGGTTCAGATCAGAACTGTGTTCCTAACACAAAGAGCTTTCGGAGAGAGATTCAGAGAGAGAAACCGGTAGGAAATTGTTTTGCTTACAGCAGTACAACGCAGAGTCGGTGAGTACTGGAGCAGTCTCGATATTAGATCCACTGCCTCAGCAGGCATTCTTTTATGAAATACCTAAAACACAAAAAAAAAAAATTAATAATAATAATAAAATAAAAATCAAAATCAGTGTTTTTACGAATCGAAGGATTAAAAAAGGAGACGAAAGAAAACAGATCAAACCATAAATTTCTTAACAAACCTTGTGCAAGGGATGAGCTTTAATTTGAGGAAACTTGAATTCTGTATAGTTCGGATTCATTAACTTAATCTCCTCTCTAGTTGGTGTCCCCAAAATCTGACGTAAAAAAATAAAAGACATCAACAAGAGTTCACAAGTCATAAACCAAGACAAATCCCGAAGAGAGAGTAAAGTAATCGATAGCACACCTTAATGACTTCAACTAGTTGATCGATACTGCTTTCCCCGGGAAATAGAGGCTGCATGAGATGTGCAACGGGAAGTATATCAGACTATCACGACAAATGAAACACTGACGATCATGAATTCACAACAAAATAAATTAATTACCCGTCCAAGAAGTAGCTCAGCCATAACACAACCAACGGACCACATATCAATAGCAGTTGTATACTCCGTAGCCCCAAAGATCAATTCTGGAGCCCTATAGTAGCGAGAACATATGTATGATATATTTGGCTCACCGCGCATCTAAAGTGGAACAAATAGATATTAATATTTTAGCCAAAATAAAACTAAAAAAATGAGCTCTTTTCCCAGTAAATCACATACCAATTTCTTTGCACTCCCAAAATCACAAAGCTTTAGCTGATGAGTATGGGAATTAACCTGCAGCAAGCATCAAAATCACAAACAACTCAGCAATATTGCAAGAAAATACACCTTAGAGATTTACAGTGCGGAAATATTAGCCACTATGTAGAAAGAAGTAAACCCGTAGCTCAAAAAGGGGAAAAGACAAAATTCTCACCAATATATTTTGTGGTTTAATATCACGGTGACACACACCAATTATACAGTGTAAATAATTTAGAGCTCGACAAATCTGCAAAAATAGAAAGAAACACAAAAATTAAAGCACACCAAAAAGATAATAGTCACTGAACAGGGATAGATTATTCAAGCTTTAAGTGAATCAGCACCGAACTTCACCTGGTATGTATACAGTTGAACATATATAATGGGCATAGGCTGGTTCATTCTGCAATAGTTCCTAGAAACTCGGTAGATAGTTTCGGGCACATACTCCAGCACGAGGTTGAGGTACATTTCTTTCTTCTCGGTAGTTGAATAGAAAGAATGCCTCAGTTGAACAACATTAGGGTGATCGACTAAACGCATAATCTGGAGTTCACGGTTCTTGTATCTCCTGTCCTGTAGCACCTTCTTTATAGCCACAGTATCACCGGTTTCAAGGCAATTTGCCTATGATGTAACAAAAGCAGAAGAAAATATTCAGATGCCTGTACAACATTAATCTTCAACAATAACCCAGTTTCTCTTGCATATAACGGGATCATAGTACTTTACCTGAAAAACAACTCCAAATGAACCACTCCCTATCACCCGCTCTGCCATGTAAGACAAATTCTGAATCAAAAGGACACAGTGGATCAGTTTTAATCAAAATCAAGATAATTTATCCAACAACAACAATAATAAAACCAAACTACACAACTTGTTGGTCTAAGGAGAAGAAAGTAAGTAAAGCTCGACAACGTCCAACCATGGGAGGTTAGTTCACCTGCTTCTGTTGTCCATTTTGACCACCCACAGTAGTTACAATTATCTGACCTACTTCAGTCCCGTTACCGCTAACAACAGCGGGCTCAATTTCCTGCATGGAATACACAAACCATCAATTTCTTCTTTCCAAGTTTCCAACTAACATAAGTGGCATTATCATTCTAACTAGTCCGAGAAACGGAAGCACTAACCTTTAAGTTGGCCTCATGGTTATCAATATTTTCATCTCTAATTTTCATTTCTTTCATTTCTTTGGGAAGCTCATCATAGCCAGATTTTTCGGTTCCAGCCACATTTGGCACATCCGTGGTAGTTCCCTGAGATATCGAAGCTGCATCCTGTCTTAATGCAGTGGTGGATTCTTCCTTCGGTTCGGGTTCATCCCTAGCCCTCTGATCAACCTCTTGCTCAACCTTCGCCCTCTTAATGTTGGAATCCCCTCCCTAAGATAATCCAATCGAGTCAAAAAAGAATCACATTATCAACTCCTACCCTATTATATATCTACTCTATTTCAGTCAAGTTCCATACTAGGCCATATGAATAGGCTACAAGCAAAAACAAGAAAGCCAACTAGTAAACATATAGCAAAATGATGGGAAAATCCAAAGCACATAATCAAATAACTGATCAAAGAAATCACTAACACAAGATCTCACAGAGAACCTATCCAAATCCATTTCCTCTATCCAAGCCACAATGGCAGCCATGACTTTATCTTTACCCCTAATCAATGCATTTATAGAGCTCAAAAGCTTTAAAAATCAAGATGCCAGTCAAAACTCGCACTATAAAGCTGATAAACAAACAATACAACATTCAAATCGTCGCCCAAAAGCAACAATTTGGTAAAAAGAAGACGGTGTATGAAAAGGAAAGGATCCAATACAAACATGTTCAAACAAAAATCTCAAAAACCAATCCATGTAGAAAAAAAAAAAAAAACAAAAACAAAATCAAGATCTTTTTTTGTCAATCAAAGTACGGAATGAATCCCGAATCAAAAAGCAAAAACAGAGAAATTGCAGAAACAATAAAGACAATATTACAGAGATAAACAACAGATTGAAACAACCGGGATAATATACAAACAGAAACATGATTGAAAGAGAGATTACAGGATCAGAAACGGAAGAACGGCCGGAAGTAATGCTCTTGAGGCGACGCATCATATTCATATTTTATTTTTTCCGATTTCAAACGGCGGATGCCCAAATCCTTTCCCCCCTCTCTTTCCCTAACCCTCAACTGTTAGAGGATTGAAGATTGAAGATCAGAAAAATTGGAGAAAGAGAAAGAGAAAGGAAAGAATGAATGGAATGGGGAGGCCTTCTCTCCCTCTCGCTTCTAGCTGCGTTCAACAATATACAGCGAAGAGAGAGAGAATTTTCCCAGTAAAAAAATAAAAATTAAAATAAATAAATAAATAAAATAATAAAATTAAAATTAAAAATAAAAACAGTTCCTTCTCTCTCTATTGTCTTCGCTTTTTCCCTTTATCTTTTACTCTTTTGTTCTGTTGTGTCTTCTTGTTCTTCTTCCCCTTCTCTCTCTCTCTGTTCAAAAATGAAGAAATAAATATAAAATTTAAAAAATAAATGAAAAAGAATTCTTCGTCAAAGTTGTGCCTGACGACCAATCTTCCCTGCTACCCACTTTCTGTACTTGTAGTCAAAAGTGGTTGTTGACCATAATTACTCATCGGACGGTGGGATTAAGATTTGGATCCAAGTAAAGGGGTAGGGTACCCATTCTTTACTCATTATAGAATTCCAATCCGAAATACATTTATAATTACTCAAATCTAAATATACTCCGTATTTAATAAGACAAATGAGATAAATATGTCATGAATATAATTTTAGTATCTAAAAATTATGAGTTTCACTTAAAGCGAACACGTTATTAATTGAGTCCATAATATTTTATTAGTAACAATTATCTCTGATATGTTATAGTTTGCGAGTTACATAGGAATAAATTTTCCTC